CACCACATCCTCTCCATACCACCCGGCAGCGCGCACCCCTCCAGCTCAGCTGTCTACTTAGCACGCGCTTGACGAACTTCCTGCACAGACAACAACCTCGCCCACTACCTTCCTCTTCCTTACGCACACAGGACAAGACGAAATATCTGGACCACAAGCTCCGCAGGCGCCACGATCCCAACCGCAGCAACCCGTCAAACCACCCTAACGCACTCTCTGCAACTCCTGCACTCCTGCTCTGCCCTCGCCCTGCTCGTCTACATATCACGTGCACACGCATTGCCTTGCCGCTATACCGCAGTCCGGCACCGGCACCGCCTGCACAGCTACAAGCTCCCTGTCTTGCACTCGTCTCTCCTCTGACCAAATCCACACAAATCAACGCCAAATGCCGCCAACCAGGCTACGTCCCAAACCCTCTTCTCTGCATGCTACACGCCACCACCACATCCTCTCCATACCACCCGTCTGCAAGCATCCCTCCAGCTCAGCTGTCTACATAGCAAGCCCTTGACGAACTTCCTGCACAGACAACAACCTCGCTCCTTACCTTCCTCCGCCCTACCCACACAGGACAAACCGAAATATCTAAATCACAAGCTCGGTAGGCCCCACAATCCCAACCGCAACAACCCGCCGAACCACCCTAACGCACTCTCTGCAACTCCTGCATGCCTGCCCTGCCCTCCTCCTGTTCCCCTACATATCACATGCATATGCATTGCTTGGCCGCTATACCGCAGTCCGGAGCCGCCTCCATACCTGCGAGCTTCCTGTCCTGCAGATGCCTCTTCCCTGACCCCAGTCCGCACAACTCAACCCCAGACGTCACCAACCAGACTACCCCCAAACCCCCTTCTCTGCACGCTACACGCCACCACCGCATCCTCTTCATACCACCCGGCAGCACGCACGCCTCCAGATCAGCTGTCTATGCATAGCAAGCAATTGACGAACTTCCTGCGCAGACAACAACCTCGCTCCCTACTTTCCTCCTCCTTACCCACACAGGGCAAACTGAAATGTCTATACCAGAAGCTCCGTAGGCCCCACATTCCCAGCCGCCACAACCCGCCGAACCACCCTAACGCACTCTCTGCAAGTCCTCCACGCCTGCCCTGCCCTCGTCCTGTTCGCCTACATATGACACGCATACGCGCTCCCTGGCGAATATCGCCCAGCGCGGCACCGCCCGCACACCTACGAGCTTCCTGTCTTGCATATGCCTCTCCCGTGACCCCATCCCACACAAATCAACGTCAAACGCCGCCAACCAGTCCACCCCCAGTCCCTTTCGCTGCAGACTACCCACCACCACAGCATCTCGCCCGTCAGCAAGCATCCCTCCAGCCCAGCTGTCTACGTGGCACGCGCTTGACGAACTTCCTGCACAGACAAAAACCTCGCTTCCTACCTCCCTCTTCCTTATGCACACAGTACAAACCGAAATCCGTAAATCACAAGCTCCGCAGGCGCCACAAACCCATCCGCCGCCACCCGTCAAACCACGCTAACGCACTCTCTGCAGCTCCTGCACGCTCCTGGTGTCCTTGTCCTGTACGTCTACATATCCCGCGCGTGCGCTTTCACTTCCCGACGTCCCGCAGTCCGGCACCGCCCGCAGAACTACCAGTATCCTGTCTTGCAGATACCTCTCCCCTGACCCCATCCCACACATATCGACGTCAAACGCCGCCAATCAGTCTACCCCCAAACTCTCTTCTCTGCACGCTATGCGCCACCAGCACATGCTCACCACACCGCAGGTGAGCACTCGTCCCTTCAGCTCAGCTGTATGCTTGGCGCAAGCTTGACGAACTTCCTGCACAGCCAACAACCGCGCTCAATACCGTCCTCTTCCTTACGCACACAGGGCAAAAGCGAAGTGCGTACGCTACCAGCTCCGCCCTCTCCATAAACGCAGTCCCCCTGGCTCCGCCCGCAGCTTCGTACACCAGTTGCCTGCCGTTCCATCGAGTCCTACACACCCGGCCGGCGGGTGACGGCAGTGCTCAGACCTTGGCTAGCGAAGCGTAGCCATGCATACCATGGGCTCTTAAAGCTGCACACAGATGAGGGCCTTATCTGTCTCGTTGCAACGCGCTTCAAACGAAATCTGAAGTACCCGCCGTGTCTCAATTCCCCGTGGTTCGCTGCCGCGACATCTCCGCTACGCTATATTGCTAAGCTCTCAACTGGTGGGTGTGTGACGAACTTCCTGCACAGACAACAGAATCCCCCACTCCCTCCCTCTTCGGCATGCACACGCAGTCTAAGCACGAAAGCCGTAAGCTACGAGCTCCGTCAGCGCCACAAACGCAACGTATTCCACCCCCATCGCCGCGTTTTACGGCAGTCGCCTCCTGCTGTGACCGATCCAATCAACACGGAACCTACAGAGCAAGCCAGTGAGCACTACATCCGGGCTCTCGTTCTCTCATGCCCTCAAAGCCGCCCGTACACAGGTGCGCTAGCGAGCCCGTTTGTTTTTCTACAAACGGGCTCGCTGGTGCATACGTCACAGACCTGCACTGTCCGCACTAATCAGCGCTCAATCTCCGAGCAACCACTGCAACTTGGCCAGACATCCGCCACTCCCTCATGGCGCACACGTCACAATGCACGAATGTGTAGTTCAGAGGCCAACCGCTGGTAGAGGCCGCGCATTGCTGGTTTCCATGGAGCAAGGTGCTAACACTTGTTGGGTTTCCTGATGCACTAAAGCTCCACGTTTTCGTTGCAGACAGTCGGTAGTTTCCGTACTCCTATCTTTAGGGAAAACGAAGATGCCTGTGCAGGCCCCTATGTTTACTGCTCCGACAACTACCAAAGCCTCACAGCCCGGCCACGCGGCGTACGCGAAGTGCGCAGGTGCATCTGAACGTCGAAAGATCTTGATGGCTAGTAGCAAGGTTACAATTGCTCTTCGACCACCCACGATGAAGTAGCAAACCCGAACCAACCGGCACTCCTAAGCCGATAACTACCAATCCACACCCTCGTCTCTTTGGTCTGCCGAAAACTCTGAGTTGTGCACAGCAATGCATGAGATGAATT